CCCCATGATGCACTCGCACATAAAATCAGACAAGCAGATTTCTGACAGGACTGCGCTGCTAAAGGTCAAGATTGGTAAAACACATTCGGCTTATTCGCGATCTACGCCTCGCGCAATCGAAAGCCGCCGCAGGAACGGCTTGAGTCCTGCAGCTCTTTGGACGCCGAATGTAGGCGTTGCTTTGCGAATCAGGGGAAGCTTCTCGCCGGAGATTTCAACGCTAGGTTGGGGGTCCGCGGCCCTGGCGAAGACCGCGTCATGGGGGGGCGCAGCTGGGGAAAATAGGCACTTCGCGAAGTGGAAATACCGAGCAGAGATTTATTTCTGGCGTTCCGCAGTGGCGCCTCGCCCATCGCAGCGAACGCTTTCATAGTGACGCCCCCTGGAGGAGTAAGTAACTGCATGGGAGCTGGTGCACTTCCAGACGGCATCATGACATACAAGATGCACAACATTCTATATGTTGTGTTATGTGAGACATGCGCTGTGGACTGCGTTCAACACTTACGGAGCCGTGGAGCAGCGGCGCTGGCGACGGATCACGAGTTGGCAACGCGCCGCGCGGGCGGAGGTGCTTGCCGCGGGCCGCCGACAAGCGCCGGCGAGCAAGCAGCGCGCCCATGCCTTACGATACGATTCCCCCCCAAAGTTATGGAGATGCTTTCGCCCAGCATGCTCAGCAACAAGATGAACGAACATATTCCCTCGATAACTTGGGGGGGCGTCGAGCAGCTTCAGCGGCGGCGCCGGTGCTGGCGGGGCGCCGCGGGAGGCAAAACGGCCATGGATCGCCCATGCAACTCTGGAGTTGATTGAGAAAAGAGGTGATGCCCGACTACGCGACGACAAAACGATTGGAAGACAATTGTTTAGAGAACTTCTTACGCACGCATAGCAAGACGAAACGAAATTGGTTGATGAGCAAATCGCCGGCGGCAGTTAGAACGCGCTGAACGCGCTGGAAAGACGTTGCCGGGCCGAGCCGCGCAAGCAGGGCAAGCCGTGGAATCTGGCAGGGGAGCTCATTGGTAGCGAAAGCAGGGCTGATTGCGTGGCAGAGTGCCTGGAACAAGTTCAATAGAATGTCCGGGTCGCTGAATTAACGGATAACGAAGCATAGGGCCCGCTCTCAAAGTTGTCGGCGCGCCTTTCTCGCGGGCCTAGGTCGAAGCCGCGGTCCAGAAGCTAGAGCGGTGGAAATCAGCGGGGCCGGGTGGCAGCATATTTGAAGGCTGTCTCACATAATCTTGGGTAGTTGCGCTGGCTCACGGATCTCTGCAACGCGCGTTGGGAAGGAAAGTGCGCGCCTGCAGGGTGGAAGTTATCGGCAGCCACGCCAGCGCGCAAGAACGAAAGCGCAGTGGACAAGTGCGAAAATTATAGACCCATCAGCTTGCTGCGCGTAGCATGCGCATTATTTGCAAGTCTGCTGCCCCAGCGATTTCAAGATGCAGGGGCTGAAGAACGCCTCGCCCCAGCGCGTTTTGCATGCCGGCGCGGGCGAGGCACCTCAGACGCTGCGCGCAGTCCAGCGACGTATCGAAGCAGCTCACGCGCGCGAACCAAGTAGAGTGGCATTCCTGGCGCCGGATTGGAAACAGACTTTCGACTCGATCAAGCCTAAGGCCCTCCCAGACGCATTGCGGATATTTGGTGGCCCGCCGCAGAGGTGTCTGGCGATGATTGGTAGCATTTGCCAGGCGAGGCAGTTCTGCGCGACCGAGATGGCGCGCGAATCCCAGCAACGACGCCCACCATCGGGAATCGCCCAGGGTTGCCCTCTCTCCCCGCTCCTATCTGTCATGCTGATGACAGCGGCCATGAAAGACGCTGCCAGCAGATCGGAACAGCGTGCCGAAGAAGCACTTTCGGCGGGGGAGTTGTCCGCGTCGTTATTTGCAGACGACGCGCCATTGGTGGGCCATTGCCAGCGCAGACTGCAACGACTGCCAGGTGAACTCGCGGCTGCAGGCGCCAGGGTTGGCACGGGGCCGCGCTGGGGCAAGTTCCGGCAGCTGCAAACGCATTGCGACGTACATTTGCGAACCCCGGATGGAAAAGACATCGCCCCAAAAGCGATGTTTTCTTTGGGTGCCACTCTAGGCAGCAACGGGAACACGACATATGAAGCAAACAGAAAGCCAGGGGTGGCTCGGGGTAAGTTTCGCAGATATGCTCGCGCATGGAAGCACGCGTCACTTATTGCAGACAGGTGGCTTTTTCAGGCTCCGATAACCGCCGAGATCACGTATGCCTCCATCTCTGCCCGGCTAGACAAATCTGAAAAACGGAGACTGGATGCGTTCCGAGCGTTGTGCTTCAGGAATATCGTGAACATACTTCATTCATACAGGTCGCATGCGTCAACCCAGACGGTTTTGGAACACAGAAACGCATCAAATACCTTGCAGCTCGCAGCGCTGCCGCGGCGTCGACTTCTTTTGTTTGGTAAAATTCTGGAAACTTGCGACGAGGACGCATTGGAGAAGTCACGTTCGTGCCCGGCTCGGCCCAATCAACTACTACCACGTTGCGCAGGAGACCAGGGGGCCCAGGAACGAATGGGCGAAGTGCCTGCGCGATCGAATTATGACCGGCTCTAGCGCGGACGGGGAATTATTGGGGCGCCTGCGTGACGCTGCAAGATGGCTGGATTTTTCGCGGAATTTTATAAGCCAGTGAAAGTTTGCGCGAGCCGCTCTGTTTGAGTGGGCCCCCCTGCCCGCGCTTCCCCGCCCCTCTTCTTGTCCGCCCGCGCATGGCGCAGTTGGACAATCGGTGGGCGCGCCGCTGCTCGCGCGAAGCGGAGAGAACAGGCCGGCGTCGTCTCTTTCCGCCCGCGCGTTCCGGCGCATGGCTTGACTGACTGACTGGCTGGGGAGCTCGGGGGGGGGCCGTGGGACCGCGCCCGGGATGTCGGGCACCTCGCGGGATCTTGCCTGAGCCTTGCCAGTGCATTTTCGCCCGGGCGCCCCCAGCGGCCGCCGCGCGCCGCGCGCGCGAGCCAGAAGCCATAGAGATTTAGCACTCCTCTGGCCAGTTGGGCCAGCGAATTGGTCGGCAGTGGCCTCGTTTCGGTCCGCGGCCTGCTTGCAGGCCTTCCGGGGCCTACCCGCCACGTTCTTGGCCGCCGTCTGGGCCACGGCCGATTCCAGGGCCCCCTGAACCGTGACGGCGTAGGCCGTCTGGCAATGGGCCCGCGTTTTTTTCTGCGCAAGTCATCCAGGCCCATCGACCGAAGTTTTTGGCGAGGCCGACCCCAGAATATCTCGATTGGGCTCGTGTCGGGGCTCCTGGGAGGAAAGCTCCGAACGGCAATGCTCTTCATAGTAAGCCTGCGTGCTGATATTGGTCCGTAAGGCTTCCTTTTTTCGCAGATGATCGCCCATGGGCCTTTGTTCTTATTGGGGAGCTCCGCCGAAGGCCCCAGTGGCCGCGGTCGCATGGCCATCGCCATAACCATCATCATCATCATCAGCATCATCATCATCGTCGTCACCATCATCATCAACGCCGTCATGATCGTCGTCTTCATCGCCATTGACGCGACCTCGTGCGCTGATCGGATGAACTCATGAATGACGGGACGGTTTACGATTGTTCCCCATCGCCGTGGCAAATTTCTTTCGAGCCGCCTTCGCAAATGGAGCAGCAACGTGGAGCATATCATAATCACTTTGCTCCAACTATTTCGCGCGCGGTCGCATCTTGCTCGATATGATATCAAACGTGGCGCGGGGCAGTTTCCGATCCGGTTTGGGGGCATCAAAGTTATACACATCAGGCAAATCGGGAGCTATTCCACCGAATGACGAAAACATCATGCCATGTTGGGAATTTCCGGGATGGGGGATATTTTCGCCATAGCAATGTGGTGGAGTTTTTGTCGCGGCTGTGTACGCATTCGCTTTCAAATCCGCTCACACCCCGACAGAATTGCCGTCCGAACCCCATACGTTTTCACAACTTCGCAATCCCGCTCACATCCTGCCTCAGTCACCCGGCTTCGCTTTCAGTCCGATGCCCATGAAGGAAAGCGACAGATTACATATACACAAGGGGAGTCCGTGGCGAGAAAGTACAACACCGCGCGTGTCTCGAAGCAGCGTTGTCGCCGCAGTCGAAAGTTGCTTTCGCTCGCGTGCCTCCGCGCGGACTTCTGAGAGCTGGTGTTGGTGACGTTTGTTTGGCTCTCTACAGTCGAGGCGTTGACCTAAGGAACCTTAAATAAGGAACGAGGCCCTTTTTTCCCATAAGTTCAACCTCGATTTCCTATGGAAAACCAGGAGCACCCGAGGCAAACTTTGAAACAATCAAGGAACACCGAGCCCCTCCCCAACGAAAAGGGCTCCTTCTTCAGCGCCCCGAGTGTACTGATGCCGACGACGCGCCCGGTGTGGAACGCAGAGGGCGCGGTCCACTTTGGAAGGCTCAGGAGGCCTCTGGTCTCTTCGAAGGCGTGCTTCCCATAGGGCTGGAGTCGGGGGTGGACAGAACCCCCAACAGTGACACGTCGATTAGTGAATTGTCCGTTTTCGGTTCTCGAGAGGGCGCCGCGGCCGTTACTTTCCAGGCTCGCGCCCGCCAGGTTTGGGCCTCAGGTCGTTTTCACTAAACCACGTTTTACTAAAGGGGGGTCTGTCCATCCCCGATGGAGGGCGTATGGGAATCCCCGCCGCCTCCCGACGAGGCTTGCCCCCTCTCCATCTCTCCCTCGGCGCGCCGCCGCCGATCCCTGCCTCCTCCCCTGCGCCTTCTCTCACCACCCACCAAACCACCCCAACCCAACCCGAAGGCTCAGATTTACCCTCGATTTCCAGTGGGGGGGGGTCGGGGAACATCGAAAAAACACGTATGGAACCCATACCCCCCCCAACCCGAAATTCGGGTCTTCGGGTTGTGTTGGGGTGGTCTGGTAGGTAGTCATTCTCAGCCCCCCCTTCTGGTTTGCGGTGCCGCGCTGTGCCCCCCCCCACTGCGACCCCCGTGGGGCAGCGGAGGAGTAGCGTCTGGGACTGCAAGTGGATGCAACAGCCTCTGGCCGCCTTGCTCCCCTTCTTTTTTCTTCGCTCGGAGCGGAAGAGGCCAGAATTGGGGAAGAAAGGTTTGGCCAAAGAGGGTGGGTGAGGTGAGGCAGAGTTCAGGGCCAATGCTAGGGAGTGATAGGCCCAGGGGGGTGATATATCGACCCCGGATCGCCATTGATCGCCGATATGGGGCCTGATTGCCCGCCTCTGCCTTTGAGTGTCCGGATTCGACATCGCGGGCCCATCGCCGATGTATCTGCTATGCATCGCCGATTCCACGTCGATGTTCCCCACCCCCCGAGCAGGTCTCCCCTAAAATTGTTCATCGATGGGCAGGGAGGGCAGAGTGCGCCCTTTTTCCCAACCATCTTGTGGCGTTGGGTCCTCGTTTTGAAGAGACGGTGCCCCGCGTCTCTCCTCCTCTCCTCCTCCTCCTCCTCCTCCTCCTCCTCCTCCTCCTCCTCCTCCTCCTCTCATCATCAGCATCATCATCATCGTCATCGTCACCGTCATCATCAGCATCATCATCATCATCGTTCTTATCACCATCGTCGTCATCATCATCGCCGTCTCCATCATGGCCACACGTTTCGTGGACCCATAGTGAGCTCCACCGAAGGCCCCAGTGGCAAGGTCCGCATGCGGTTCCACCTCCATTTCGGCGCACCCCTCACACGTTCCGTGGCCCCATAGGGAGCTCCACCGAAGGCCCAAGTGTCAGGGTCCGCATGCGGTTCCACCTCCATTTCGGCGCACCCCTCACACGTTTCGTGGCCCCATAGGGAGCTCCACCGAAGGCCCAAGTGTCAGGGTCCGCATGCGGTTCCACCTCCATTTCGGCGCACCCCTCACACGTTTCGTGGCCCCATAGGGAGCTCCACCGAAGGCCCAAGTGTCAGGGTCCGCATGCGGTTCCACCTCCATTTCGGCGCACCCCTCACACGTTTCGTGGCCCCATAGGGAGCTCCACCGAAGGCCCAAGTGTCAGGGTCCGCATGCGGTTCCACCTCCATTTCGGCGCACCCCTCACACGTTTCGTGGCCCCCTCCACCAGGCCCCGTCAGGGTCCGGGCATTTCGGCGCACCCCTCACACGGGCCCCATAGCTCCACCGAAGGCCCAAGTGTCAGGGTCCGCATGCGGTTCCACCTCCATTTCGGCGCACCCCTCACACGTTTCGTGGCCCCATAGGGAGCTCCACCGAAGGCCCAAGTGTCAGGGTCCGCATGCGGTTCCACCTCCATTTCGGCGCACCCCTCACACGTTTCGTGGCCCCATAGGGAGCTCCACCGAAGGCCCAAGTGTCAGGGTCCGCATGCGGTTCCACCTCCATTTCGGCGCACCCCTCACACGCTTCGTGGCCCCATAGGGAGCTCCACCTAAGGCCTAAGTGGCAGGGTCCGCATGCAGTTCCACTTCCATTTCGGCGCACCCCTCACACGTTTCGTGGCGTCATAGGGAGCCCCGCCTAAGGCCCAAGTGGCACGGTCCGCGTGCAGTTCCACCTCCATTTCGGCACACCCCTCACACGTTTCGTGGCCCCATAGAGAGCTCCGCCTAAGGCCCAAGTGGCAGGGTCCGCATGCAGTTCCACCTCCATTTCGGCGCACCCCTCACACGTTTCGCGGCCCCACAGGGTGCTCCACCGAAGGCCCCAGTGGCAGGGTCCGCATGCAGTTCCACCTCCATTTGGCGCACCTCTCACACGCTTCGTGGCCCCATCGGGTGTTCCACCAACGACGATACTTACAACGGCGGCATTCGGAATTGCGTATGGTTGGGCCCTTCGCCAGGATAATTTTGCTGGGTGGGCGGAGTGGAGGAGGGTTGAGGGGGAGAGAATGGACGGTGGGATGTGCGGGGCCAAGGGGTCGAGCGGACGTGAGGGTGGTGAGGGCGGGGGGGGATCGGGCCGCGTTGCCCACGTGCCCAATGCGTTGAGCGGTTTGTCGTGTCAGGCCGTTCGCCTGCGCGCGCCGCCAGGGGTTTTCTGCCTGCCCTTAGGGCTCCCTCGAGGGCGCGAAGTTATTCGCGCTTCGCGCTTCGCGGTCCTCGTTCCTTCTCCCCTCTCCTCCTCGTCCTCCTTTTCTCCCTTCTGGGGGGCGGCGCGAGAGCGCGAAGTTATTCGCGCTTCGCGCTTCGCGCAGCGCGAAGCGCGAAGTTGGGAGCCCTTCGCGTGGACGGTTTCGAGGGGTTGGGCCGGCCAGTCCGTGGCGTGGTCGAATTCTGGAGCTGGTTGTGCACGAATGGGTTTGGAGGAGACGCGGGTTTGGGCGGAACTTGAGATTTTGCATGAAGGCTCACGCCATGACGCTGACCCCTTGGGGAACTGGCGGTTGTTGCGTGTTGTTCATGGGGGCCCCTTATGCGCCTTTGGGTGGTTTCTTGGCAGCTATGGGGCTTCATGGGGCCTCTTGGGCTGACATTTTCAGTATTCGCCGTGCACGCATGGGGAATGGGGCGAGAACCCGCATATACAGACAGAGGGCATCTGTCAAAACACCCGACAGATGATTATCCAAGACGCCTACGGCGAATCACCGCCGCCCCCTGCCTTTTTGGAAGTGCCTATGTGGTCGAACGTTGAGGCCAGACCTGCCAAGCTATCGGATCATGTGTTCCCCGAATCGGTTTGGAAAGCCTTCGGGGAACACGTGGGCATCTTGAAGGTCATCTTGGCCGTCGGGAAGCCACTTTGACTCTTTTGGGCCTTCTTGGAGGACGTCTTGGAGGGCTCTTGGGCGGTCTAGGAGGCCATCTTGAGCGTCTTGGAGGCCTCTTGGGGCCGTCTTGGGGGCCTCTTGGGGCCGTGTTGGGCCTCTTGGGCGATCTTTGGGGGCACTTGGGCCGTCTCGGGCCGTCGGAAGGCCGAAAACAAACAAATGCCACAATCCTTCAAAAACTCATGGGACATCAATGATTTTGGCCTTTTCGGCCCTTCCTGGAGGCCCTCTTGGAAGCCTCTTGGGCCGTCTTGGGCCATCTCATGGCCATCTTCGGCCGTCTTGGTGGCATCTTGGCCCGTCCGACGCCGTCGGAAGCCGTTTGGGGGGCCTCTCTGGGCCGACTTGGTGCCCTAGACTCTTGGAATGCTCCAGGGCCGTCTTGGAGGCCATCTTGGGTGTCTTAAAGGCTTCCTGGGCCGTCTTGGGAGCCTCTTGGGGCCGTCTTGGGAGCCCCTTGGGCCGTTCTGGGCCCATCTTGGAAACCTCTTGGACGATCTTTGGGCGATCTTTGGGTGCTCTTGGGCCGCCTCGGGCCGTCGGAAAGCCGAAAATAAGAAAATGTCAAAATCCGTCAACAACCTAAGGAAAATCATGGTTTCTCACCTTTTCTGGCCTTCCTGGAGGTCCTTTTGGAGGCCTCTTGGGCCGTCTTGGGCCACTTTCGAGCCAACTTCGGCCATCTTGGTGGGTTCCTGGCCCGTCTGACGCCGTCAGGAGCCGTCTTGGGGGCCTCTCTGAACCGACTTGGGGTGCTCTTGGGCGCTTGGGGGCCGTCTTGGAGGCCATCTTGGGCGTCTTGGAGGTCTCTTGGGCCGTCTTGGGGCCCTCTTGGGACCGTCTTGGAGGCCTCTTGGGCCGTCATGGGGCCCTCTTGGAGGCCTCGTGGGCGATTTTGGGGCGATCTTGGCGGCCTCTTGGGCCGTCGGATTGCCGAGAAGAGGCAAATGCCAAAATCCTTCAAAAACATATGGAAAAGCAATGATCTGGGCCTCTTCGGGCCCTCTTGGAGGACCTCTTCGAGCCCTCTAGGGCCGTCTTGGAGGCTTCTTGGGTGAACTTGGAGGTATCTTGGACCCTCTTGGGCCGTCTTGGAGGCCATCTTGGACCATCTTGGGCGGACTTGGAGGCCATCTTGGGCGAGCTTGAAGGTCATCTTGGCCATCTTGGAGGCCATCTTGAGCCTTCTTGGAGAATGTTTTGCGGACGTTGAGGTCGTTTGCGGTCCTGGGCAATCTTTCCGGGACCCCGGCGGGATAGGCCGAAGCCCCAAGGGGAGTTCTTTTGGAACAAGAACCAAAACCAAACCGTAATAATCCGGCAAGCCAGGCACCCCTGCGATAAATCGACAGGGGGCGGCGGATCGAAGACGCCTACGGCGAATCATCGCCGCCCTCTGCCTTTGTGGAAGCGCCTATGTGGCCGAACGTTGAGGCCAGACCTGCCAAGCCATCGGACCATGTGTTCCCCGAGTCGGTTTGGAAAGCCTTCGGGGAACACGTGGGCATCTTGAAGGTCATCTTGGCCGTCTTGGAGGCCTCTTGGGCGATCTTTCGGCGATCTTTGGGGGCTCTTGGGCCGTCTCGGGCCGTCGGAAAGCCGAAAAGAAGAACATGTCAAAATCCGTCAAAAACCTAAGGAAAATCATGGTTGTTGGCCTCTTCTGGCCTTCCTGGAGGCCCTATTGGGGGCCTCTTGGGCCCTTTGGGCCAGCTTCGAGCCAACTTCGGCCATCTTGGTGGGTTCTGACGCCGTCGGGAGCCGTCTCGGGGGCCTTTCTGGGCCAACTGGGGACCCTCTTGGGGCCGTCTTGGAGGCCATCTTGGGCGTCTTGGAGGCCATCTTGGGTTTGTTGGAGGCCTCTTGGGCCGCCTTGGGGCCCTCTTGGGGCCATCTTGGAGGCCACTTGGGCCGTCATGGGGCCCTCTTGGGGGCCTTTTGGGCGATCTTGGGGGCCTCTTGGGCCGTCTTGAGCCGTCGGAATGCCGAGAAGAAGCAAATTCCAAAATCCTTCAAAAACCTGTGGAAAATCAATGATTTTGGCCTCTTCGGGCCCTCCTGGAGGAGCTCTTGGAGGCCTCTTGGGCCGTCTTCGGGGCCTCTGGGGGAACTCTTGGGCAGTCGTGGGCCATCTTGACGCCATCTACGGCCGTCTTGGGTGCATCTTGGGCCGTCTTGGAGGCATCTTGGGTACATCTGAGCCGTCTTGGGGGCCATCTTGGCCGTCTGGGAGGCCATCTCGAGCCATCTTGGAGGATTTTTTGCGGTCGTTGAGCTCGTTTCCGGGCCTT